GCGACAGCGACAACAAGCGTGTCGACAGACACCCAGTCGCAATGGCGCGGCGACGGACGACGGCGACGGGCGGCGACGGCGACAAAGAGAGCGGCGACCGACAGCCAGACCCAGAAGCAGCGGCGACGGACGGCGGCGACGGACGGCGACGGCGACACCAAGCCGGCCAGACTGACACCAAGGCATAGTTCCTCTTAGAACAAGTAAGAGCCCCTAAGTGCGAGCATTGTTAGGGGAATGCTTGTTTTACGCTTTTCGCCTCCGCTACGCATGCGAGGCCCACAAGGCCCCGAGATGCCCCCCAGAGGCGCCCCAAGTGGCCCCAAAGAGTCGTCCGAGAGGCCCCCGAAGAGCTTCCACGAGGCGCCCAAGAGGCCCCAAGGAGGCCCTAAGATGCCCCAAGAGCCGCCCGCAAGAGGCTTCCAGGAGGACCCCACGAGAAATCAGAGAAACCAGATGAGGAGCAAAGCGGAAGGATGGGGCTGGAGACGCAGGAGGTTGAGAAGGAGGGGGCAGTTGAACGCGGAAGGGAATCCGCAGGAGGCGAAATGAGAGGATGTTTCTCTCATCATCCCTTCCTCCCTTATACCTCCCTCCTCATCCTTCTTTTCCGCTGCGTCCAGTTCCCTCCTCCCTTTTCCTCATCTCTCCTTTACTCCTGCCTCCCTCCCCCTTCTTTCCCTCCTCACCCCTTTCTCGCCCCGCTCCCTGCTTTCACTCAGTTGAAGGGGGGCCTACACACTGCTCATTTCTAAGTATTCGAAAGCTCTAGATTATTCCATCGCTTCGCTCATTCCGCCGGCCCCGGAGCCCTCTTCAGCGCCCCTTGGGGACCTCTTGGGAGCCTCTTGGGTCTCCTTGGCGGCGTTTTGGAAGCCCCCAGGGCCTCTTGGGGGGCTTTGGGGGGCCTCTTGTGGCGGGAGTGGGGGCGTAGTCGATTGCGGCTCCCCCCTCGGAGGCCACGATCCTCTTGAGGGGTGTCGAAAAATGGCCCTCCCCTGGAGTATTCTGGTGGCTTCTCCCGGGACCTTGCCGGGGTACTTTTCGTCCGGGGGCCCCTAGGGGCCGCTCCGCGCGCGCGAACTAGAAATATTGTTAACCAGTTATCGAAGATCTTAGCACGCCTCTGGCCCGTTGGGCAGGCGAATTTTGTTGGAGGGCCAAGATCCTTTCATTTCTAATTGTTCTGTCCTGGGCCTCTTCCTGGCCACCAGGGGGCCAGGAACAATTAGGAACGAGCGCAATTAGAAATGAGCACGATTAGAAATGAACGACGTGTACTTGAAGACAAGGAAATTGGCACACACACACACACACACACACACACACGCACGCACACTTTTGCTGTTTTTTGCCAAGTGCCCCCCCGCCCCCCCTCGCACTCTGGCGTCTGTGCTGGCGTGCCCCACACTGCGCCGCCGCCTCCCCCGTCCCTCCCCCTCCGTTCCCGTCGCCTCCTCCTCCTTCTCCTCCTCTTCCTCTTGCTTCGTTTCCCCATCATTCTCCTGCTCTTCCATCCCGTCCCTGTCTTCTCCTTTTAGGGTCGATTAAGCACATCGCGGAGCATAACGCGTGCTGCAGCAGGATCTGCCGATTTTTGTTTAGAACTTGAGCTCGGAGCTCGCGACATAGTTTTAATGCATGTGTGTATACATCTGCACTATACAGATATGGCAGAATTCACGGCATGCGTTATCACATTCAGGTTAGAGAGCACAGACGACCGCGTGTGTAGTTTGTTGTCTCCCGCCTACCACCACAGCGTTGCCTTTACATTTCCCGCTTCGAACACTGTGTGATGTTTGTCTATTATTTACGCGAGCCCACGGTAGGGGGCGGAACACGTAGTGTTCCACCGTAGTGGCATGTCAGCGCAGGGGTTGCTCAACCAAATGGTACTATCACGTCATCGTCGCATGGCATCGCATGGCGGGCAGACAGAACACCGTTCCCTTTTCGTAGTCGCCAGCCCCCCCCCCCCGGAGCCAGAAACAACACATCAATCCCTCCGGCTCGTCACATGGCGACCCGGTGGGGCAGACAACGCACACATCCTCCCCGACTCGCAGACTGGCTGGCGCGGGTGGCTCGGGCAGGCTGGCCGACCATGCGAGCCCCGACAGTCGGGCCAGGCGGGCCGCCCGCTCGAGTGGATGGACCTTGCTGGGCAGGTCGAGCGGGCCCGTCAGGCATGCAGCTGCGGGCTCGTCTCGGGCCCAGCTCACTGTGTCGCTTCGGAACCACATCAGTTCGGACACAAGCCGCCTCGGACCCGCCCACCCTCGGGCCCAGTTCCTTTCGGACCCAGCTCCGTCTGGCCCCCGTTCCCTTCGGACCGAGCCCCAGTCCGGCCCCGCTCCCCCGCTCGAGCAGGACCCTGTGCTTTCCTCGGAACCGGTTTCCTTCTGACAGGATTTCTACCGTCGCCATGGGGGAACGGGTCCTGAGAGAAACGGGTCCTGAGGCATCTGCCGTTCTCGGGCCCTCGGGGCAGAAAGCGACTCGGGGGGCAGAACTCGTCTGGGGGGAAGGCCCCTCAGGGTTCCAGGCCCGCTCCCCTCGGGACGCACCAGCTCCTCTCGGAGCCGCTTCTTGCCCTCAGACCCAGTCCCCCTCGGACCCGGCCCTCCTCGGACCCGGCCCTCTCCCGGCCTGGCTCCCAAGGGGGCCCACAGCCCCCTTGGGACCAGGCGCCCCTGCCCGAAGGGGGCCTCCCGGCCCGAGGCCGACCAGGTCAGCGGCCGGCGGGGTCCGAGGCCATGGCCAGCTCTGGAGGCGGGCCGCGTCCGAGAAGAGCGTGCCGGCGCGTCCGGAGCCGGCAGGGTCCAGTGCTGGCTGGGTCCGAGGCTCTGGGCGCCCGAGATGTTCAAGCAGCGGCGAAGCGTCCTGGCGTCCCCGTAGGCCTGCCAGACAATGTTCTGAGAGCCGCTTGTGGGTTCCACGAGATGTTCTCAGAACGCTTCTGGCTGGGACTGTCTTGTTTTGTCACGTCGGGCGTACGTTCTAAGAACATTGCTCTTGTTTTTAGAACCGTGCTGGGTTCTAAGAACATGTCGTGGTAGGCCTATAGGAATGCCGGGACGGTTGGTCTTTGCTCAAGGGTGCGGAAAACAATTGGCACGATGCCAAAAAGCACATGTTGTCCAAACCCGACAGCGGCCGCTGTCGGGCAGGCGGATTCTTATCTGCAGTGAGCAGCGTCCGCGGCAGCGCGGGCAGCGAGTTCCGTTCAGAATGAGCAGAAGCTGCTGTTGGGCATCGTACCCATTCTTCCCGTCTCCGCGTTTCCATCGTCCCGAGCAATTGGTTGCCAGGTCCAAAACCGGTCGGGTCCGAAGCTTCTTCGAAAAATTGCCAGTGGCCCATTCGTGGCGTGCTCTTGGGGGCCTCTGGATCCCTGTTGGGGCCAATCCGTACTTTGAGTTCGGTATCATCTGGAGGCCTCAGATGCTCAGATGCCCATCGGGAGCAGGAAAAGCGAGAAAGCGAACATAGCTATTGAGCCAAATTTGCGAATTGCATAGACTTGTGTCGCTCGCGAGGAGGCTCAGGGGTCACCTCAGAGCCACCATCGAGCCTTCTTGAGAACTCTTGGATGCATCTTGGCGGAGGCAATAATTGAGATCTTGGGCCAGCTTGCGCCATCCATCAGGTGCAAGCTTAAACACTCTAATCCCTCGCTGCCCTCCCCGTCCAGATCCCCCGGCAATGGCCAGAAGGAGGGCTAAATCCTCACCGAGGCGGGGGGAACGGGCTGTCTTGAAATAGCTTGCACATTGAATACGATGTACATTCGGAAGATACTATCCGAGTCCTGGTGGGATTTGTGAATAGATAGTGACAATGGTTGTTTCTCTTGCTCATCCTTCAACTTCGATTTGGTTGCATCGACTTCCGCAGCATTGTGGCCTGTTTCGCGCCAGCGCGCCAGGACTGTTGGGCCTGTTTCGCGCCAGCGCGCCAGGACTGTTAGGCATCCCGCGCTTGAAACGCGCAGGGTGCCTCCCACGATGTCAAATGGCCCTGGGCGCCAGGGCAGTCCGTGTGACTTACATTGCAGCATGCACGGGGTGTTCACTGCGTTTTTTCTGGCGGTGATGATACATGAGGCGAGCTGTCATGAGACGCAGAGCTGTGCAAACAACCCCGCAGATTGGACCGATAGTAGAGGGCTTCATTGCGACGACTACGCGGACTTGTGCACGGCATCTGCTGATCAGGTCATGAATCGCCATGCCATCATCGGCTATCCCTCGGATTTGGGGAGCGCAGGCCATTCGGCTGTGCAAGCTTGCTGTATTTGCGGTGGTGGACGTGCAATTCAAGCCGCGGACTCCATGATCAGCAACGACACCTTGACAATCGTTTCCATAACTGGCACCAGGTGGACAAAGATCGCCACCAAGTCTGAGGAGGGCAGGAGGCTCCTTGCCAGCACAACCGTGACGAGTACTAGCTCTATGACCAGCACCATGGCCAGCACTTTGACCTTGACCATTGACACCATGACCAGCACCACTACCCTGATGAGCACCACTGCATCCAGCACTACTACACTGACCACTGACACCATGACCAGCACCACTACCCTGATGAGCACCACTGCAACCAGCACCATGACCTTTACCACTGACACCATGACCAGCACCACTACCCTGATGAGCACCACTGCAACCAGCAACGATACCCCGTTCACTGCCACCATGACAAGCACCAATACATTGACGAGCACAACTGCAACCAGCACCAATACCTTGACCACTGATACCATGACCAGCACCACTACCATGACGAGCACAACTGCAACCAGCACCATGATCTTGACCACCGTCACCATGACCAGCACCACTACCCTGACCACTGTCACCATGACCAGCACCACTACCCTGGCGAGCACCACTGCAACCAGCACCATGACCTTTACCACTGACACCATGACCAGCACCACTACCCTGATGAGCACCACTGCAACCAGCAACGATACCCCGTTCACTGCCACCATGACAAGCACCAATACATTGACGAGCACAACTGCAACCAGCACCAATACCTTGACCACTGATACCATGACCAGCACCACTACCCTGACGAGCACCACTGCAACCAGCAACGATACCCCGTTCACTGCCACCATGACAAGCACCAATACACTGACGAGCACAACTGCAACCAGCACCATGACCTTTACCACTGACACCATGACCAGCACCACTACCCTGACGAGCACCACTGCAACCAGCAACGATACCCCGTTCACTGCCACCATGACAGGCACCAATACACTGACGAGCACAACTGCAACCAGCACCATGACCTTTACCACTGACACCATGACCAGCACCACTACCCTGATGAGCACCACTGCAACCAGCACCATGACCTTTACCACTGACACCATGACCAGCACCACTACCCTGATGAGCACCACTGCAACCAGCAACGATACCCCGTTCACTGCCACCATGACAAGCACCAATACATTGACGAGCACAACTGCAACCAGCACCAATACCTTGACCACTGATACCATGACCAGCACCACTACCATGACGAGCACAACTGCAACCAGCACCATGATCTTGACCACCGTCACCATGACCAGCACCACTACCCTGACCACTGTCACCATGACCAGCACCACTACCCTGGCGAGCACCACTGCAACCAGCACCATGACCTTTACCACTGACACCATGACCAGCACCACTACCCTGATGAGCACCACTGCAACCAGCAACGGTACCCCGTTCACTGCCACCATGACAAGCACCAATACATTGACGAGCACAACTGCAACCAGCACCAATACCTTGACCACTGATACCATGACCAGCACCACTACCCTGACGAGCACCACTGCAACCAGCAACGATACCCCGTTCACTGCCACCATGACAAGCACCAATACACTGACGAGCACAACTGCAACCAGCACCATACCTTACCACTGACACCATGACCAGCACCACTACCCTGACGAGCACCACTGCAACCAGCACCAGTACCCTGTTCACTGCCACCATGACAAGCACCAATACACTGACGAGCACAACTGCAACCAGCACCATGATCTTTACCACTGACACCATGACCAGCACCACTACCCTGACGAGCACCACTGCAACCAGCACCGATACCCTGACCACTGTCATCGTGACCAGCACCATGGCCAGAACAATGACCTTGACCACTGCCACCATGACAAGCACCAATGCACTGACGAGCACAACTGCAACCAGCACCATGACCTTTACCACTGACACCATGACCAGCACCACTACCCTGACCACTGTCACCATGACCAGCACCACTACCCTGACGAGCATACCTGCAACCAGCATCTCTACCCTGACCACTGTCACCATGACCAGCACCACTACCCTGACGAGCATACCTGCAACCAACACCACTACCCTGACCACTGTCACAACGACTAGCAGCACTACCCTGACGTTCACCATTTCAACCAGTACAACTTCCTTGTCCACTGTCACCATGACCAGCACCATGACCACCACCGTGACCTCTACGTTTACCACAACTGGCGCCTCCTCATTGACGAGCTTCACCGCGTCCAGCACTTCTTCCCAGACCAGTGGCTCTACAAGCAGCAGCATTACCTCGACCATGAGCAGCCGTACTACTCTGACCACCGGGACAAGCACCACCAGCGTGACATCTGCCACATTGACGACCAGCACCGCGACTCGCAGTAGCACGACCAGCACCACAACCGCGTCCACTGGCACCGTGACCACAAGCAGCATGACTTCCTCCACTACCGCGCACACCACCACCGCCGCCACGCGTTCCCAGACGAGCACCACTTCCGGGACCATCAGCAGCATGACCAGCACCACGACACCGCACACTTCCAGCCTGACCAGCACCAGCTTGACCAGCAACAGCCTGACCAGCATCAGCCTGACCAGCAACAGCCTGACCAGCATCAGCCTGACCAGCACCAGCCTGACTGGTACCAGCCTGACCAGCACCAGCACCACCGTGAGCAGCACCTCGGCGTCCAGTACCAGCTCAACCTCGTCTACTACCACTACGCCGCTTTACGTTGTAAGCAGTTCCATAACTTTGGCAAGCTCGGGCACGCAAGACAATGTAACTAGTTTCCAGCTGCCTGCGGCAAGTTCCTCCACCGTACCAGCCCAGCACCGTGGGTAGCGACTGTTCGGCGGCGTTCAGGAGGCCGTAACGTGTGGCATCTCGTGTCTCGAGGCTTGGGATCGCCGAAACTTGTAACCAGCTCTTCCGCGTCGTGTCAGATGGTTTTCTCGTCTTCGTCGTCTTCCTCCCTTTATCCCGTCCTTCCCCTCCTCCCTCCTGCTTCCGGCGACGCAAAGTGCCCTTTTGATGGCCTCCTGTGGGCCTCCTAAAGGCCTGCTGGAGTCCTCTTGGGGCTCTTTGGGCCGGCTGGGGGCCCTCGTGGGCTGTCTTGGGGGACTTGGGCATTGTTTGGACCTTCTTGGGGCCTTGTTGGGCCGTCTAAGGGGGCCTCATATGGCCCCTCTTGTGGCTCCCTTGGAGCCCTTTTGGGACCCTCTTGGGCTTGTCTTGGTCCGTCTTGGGGCTCTCTTGCGCCGTCTTGGAGCCTTCTTGTTTGGTTGCTTTACATTGGGGGGCCCCTAGGGTCGCTTGTGAGCTCTCGCTCTCTGTTCCGTCGCCCCCATGGCTCCCTTGCGTCCTTGCCTCTCTCCGGTGCCTTTTGGCCTTCCCCGTACAAGCTGGTGGGAATACATATGTATGTATGTATGTGTATATATATACATATATATACATATATATATATATATATATATATATATATATATGTAATCCCGAAGGACATTCGACGAATTGTGCCTCTTGGGAGCCCTCTGGGGGGCCTCCTGGGCCGTCTTGAGGGCGTGTGTGACCGTTTAGGGTCCTTTTGGAGCGCTTTCGGGCCGTTGGAACTATTTTAAAGCGCCTTGGGAGCCCCTTTGACCAGCTCGGGGGCGTCTTGGGCGGGTATGGGGGGCGTTGGCGTCTTCGGCTGTCCGGGCGCTCTTCCGACAGGTTCCCCAGGGTTGGGGGTTGCAATCCAAAAGGTCTGGGCGGGGGGCGGCCATCTGTTTTTTTCGTGCAGGATGTACACATGTAGGAATCTACACGCACGTGCGAATTTACACACATTGCACATACCCTCGTGTACGCGTAAAAAAGAAGCACTTCACCACATACGGATGCAGTGTAAGGTCTGCCCCGAGATCTCCCCCGGTAGTGCCCCCAGGCCCCGGAATAACCGCAAAGAGGCCCCCGATGCCTCCAATAGCCGCCCAAAGAGGCCCCAAGAGATCTTGACAAATGCCCGCAGGAGCCCCAAGGAACCTGAAAGAGGCTTAAACGATACAGGCAACATTGTATATTCGATAGGCGGTCGAGTGAGGGGATCTCGATGTCCCCCCTGAAGGGTGCTTGAAAAGCCAACTAACGCACAAGCGTCCTGACCCCAAGCGAAAATGGTTTCGAGGCGGCTCCCTGAAGTCCGACACACAACCCCAAACAAACTGAAAATGAGTCTCACGGGTCCCGTAAGATCACCCCAATAATTATGGTTGGACGTCGAACAGGGTGTATTACAAGTAGCTAGAAAAGACCCTGCATGTTGAGCCTTGAGAACGATGGTTGCGAGGTGCCCCCGTGACGTGCAACGCGCAACATAAGAAGTTCAATAGTGTTCCCAAGATCGCCCCAAGGCGGCCCCTTGCCCCAAGATGGCCCCCGAGAACCCTTCCAGGCCCCCCCAAAACGCCTAAAAGGCATCCAGAGGTGTCCACGAATTTCCCAGGGACCCCCACGCGGACCTCAAAGAGACCCCCAAATGATGCACCGAAACACGTTCGCATAAGCAGGTGCACCTATAACTACCCATACACACAAGCATGCAAACACATGTACACATATATCACGCATGAACGTACGCATACACATGCACATGCACATGTTCATGCACATATTCATGCACACATGTGCATTTACGCCCACTCTGTTCCAAAACGCTGGCCTCTTTTTCGTCAAGCCCCTTGTTGAATGGCACCCGATCTGGATCACCGAGTGAGGGGACCTCTCCGAATATTACAGGAACCCTATCAGACATCCATTGGCTTTGTATCACGCCTCAACGTGCCAGGGGGCACAGTAGCGGATACTGTCTGCTTATCTCTTGGGTCTGTATAACATAGAGCCCGATCAATTATCGATATCAGTTGAAGCCATCTCTCCCGTAAGCCGGTCGTCCAGCACTTCGTATGGTGCCGATTATGAGATTGTCGCACCAATAAATGATGCCACGCAAATCTTCGATATTGCAAGCCAGGCCGCTAATGATACATCAAACTTCTCAGCGTCTCTGCAAGCGAGCTTCGAGTCGCAAGGCCTGGAGGCAGCAGGAGTTACAGTCACAGCGCCAGAAATCAAGATCATCACTGCCACCCGGACAACAGTGAGCGTTACAGAAACCAGCATAACCGCGACCAGTACCACCACTGAGACCACTGCCACCATGACCAGCACCACTACCCAGACCAGTGCCACCTTGACCACTGCCACCATGACCAGTGCCACCATGACCAGCAGCACCACTACCGGCTCCACTGCCACCATGACCAGTGTCACCATGACCAGCAGCACCATTACGACCAGTCCCACCATGACCAGCACCGCTACGCAGACGGGGTCCACTGCCACCATGACCAGCACCGCCACTGCCAGCATTACCTGGACCAGTACCACGGTAACCACCACCACCCTTCTCGGTGCAACCACTACGATGACGACACAGACGAGCATCACCACGCTGCTTTGGTCTGTGAGGGCCTCACTGGAGTTCGCTAGCTCTGGCACGCAAGAACAGGTGGAGAGTGCGGCGTCGACTGCTTTGGCTGAATATTTCGAGGTAGCCTTGAGTATTGTGACCGTGACGGCCAGGCAGCTCACAAGCTCGAATACGGCCAGGAAGCTCACAACCTTGAACTCTTGGACGGTCGACTATGAGATAGTTGCAGATGAAGACACCATCGACAGAGTATCCGAGGCGCCTAGCGGCGAGCCGCCGCCGCCCACGCGAACCTTTGTGGCTTGCCTGGGGGTGCGAGGGCGCCTCTATCAGAGTGCCACAGCTTCTGAGCAACGTCTGCCAGGACTCCTAGTGCGACGCATTGTGCATAGAGTTGGGAGGAGGATGTTTTGCGCGCCCCAGAAGGAGTCATTATGGGCCTTGTCTGCGAAGCAGCGCTTGCCCTCAGGGGGGCTCCTGTCTGCGGGTGGAGAGCAGCTGTCCTCTTGGCTCCCGCCGACCCCCTCGGCTCGGCCCTCTTCCCGACGGTCTCCGGCCGGGCCCTGTGTCTCGGATGCCGCCGATTGTGAGGGGGGAGGATATGAAGGGAGGGGATGGAAAGGAGGGGGGAGGGTGGGGTTGTGGGAGGAAAATGGGGGACGAAGAGAAAGCGAGGGAGGATGGGGGAGGAGGGGAGGAGGAAGAGGGGGGAAAAGGAGGGATGAGGATAAGGATGCGGATGTGGATGAGGATGGGGATGAGGATGGGGATAAAGATGCGGACGATGATGATGATGGTGATGATGATGTTGATGATGCTGATGATGACGATGATGATGACGATGATGACGATGATGATGCTGCTGATGATGATGACGATGATGCTGATGCTGATGCTGATGCTGATGCTGATGCTGATGCTGATGCTGATGCTGAGACTGATGATGATGAGGAGGAGGAGGAGAAGGAGGAGGAGGAAGAGGAGGAGGAGGAGGAGTACGAACGGACCAGAGAAATCCAGCACGACCCATTGATGCCGCACTGTGCCCTCCCCCCCGAAGGGTCCCGCACTGACAGGTTTGTGCAGGTGGTAGCCGCCGTGATGTGCTTAATCGTGGGATGTGATCCTGTGTCTGTCGTGGTGGTTGCCTTGCGGTGCTCGCTCTGGTGGTCGTCCTGGGTGTCGTGGTGGTCTTCTTGACATGCGTGCGCGTAAGATGCCCCGTCGGTCAAAGCGTACACTGAGGCGTCATTTGTTGCATGCGTGGTGCGCGTGCCTTTCAACTGCACTTGTTCGCTGTCGGAATCGTTGCGCTGTGCACAAGAGACAACGACGGCGCATCTGATGCAACGCGGCACTGTCACGGTGTCGCGCAGCACGGGACCAGCATTTCGCTCGAGATTGTCGACGGCGTAGGTGGGCAGTCAACAATTTATCTTTCTCGTTCACGCTGTCCATTCGTCCCGTCCACAATTCGATTGTCAATGTTAGACAGTATCACGTCGTGTCAACATATTGCCCCGGTGCGCCCGCTTGACGTCGAATCTGTTATGATAACGGTGATACGTTTGCGAAATGAGGACAAGTAGAACATGAGGGAGTCGGGTCGGGGGGAGGAGGAGGAAAACAGGTGGAGGCTGACGCCATGAGCGCTTCGCTCTTTCAGCGGCTTGCCCCCCAAATCCGCCCGGCGAAGAACCCAACCATATGCAGTTGTGAGTACCGCGATTGTGAGCACCGTCTGAGGTGAAATTCCATATGGGGCAACGCCCGCGTGCAGGCTGTGTCGCTGGGGCTCTCGGTGGAGCTCCATGTGGAGCCACGAAACGTGTGAGGGGTCTGCCGAAACGGGGGCGTCGCTCACATGCGGGCTGCGCCGCTGGGACCGTAGGTAGAGCTCCTAATGGGGCCACCCATGAAACGTATGATGGGTGTGCCGAAATGGGGACGTTGCCCACATGCGGCCACCGCCACTGGGGCCTTGTGTGGAGCTCCCTGTGGTACCACGAAGAGTGTGAAGGGTGTGCCGAAATGGGGGTGTCGCCCACATGCGGGCTGCGCTTTTGGGACCCTGGGTGGAGCTCCCTATGGGGCCACGGAGCGTGTGATTGGCGTCCCAAAGCGGGAGTGACGCCCACATGCAAACGGCGCCACTGGGGCCTGTGGTGGAGCTCCCTATGGGACCACGAAGCGTGTGATGGGGTATACCGAAACGGGGGTTACATGCGGGCGGCGCTCTTGGAGCCCTGGGTGGGGCTCCCATGGGGCCGCGAAGCGTGTGACGGGATGTGCCGAAATTGGGGTGGCGCCCACATGCGGGCGGCGCCAGTGAGACCTTAGGTGGAACTCCCTATGGGGCCACGGACGTGTGATGGGTGTGCGGGAAGGCTCCCAAACGTGTGAGGGGCGTGCCGAAACGAGGGTGACGCCCACATTCGGGCGGCACCAGTGGGAGTTTGGGTGGAGTTCCCTATGGCTTCACAAGGCGTATGGGGTATGTGCCGAAACGGGGGTCACGCCCACATGCGGGCGGCGCCACGGTTGCCTTGGGTTGAGATCCCTTGTGAGGCCACGAATGTGTGAGGGGTGTGCCGAAATTGGTGTGGCGCCCACATGCTGGCTGCGCTTTTGGAGCCCTGCCCTGGGTGGAGCTCCCGATGGAGCCACGAAGCGTGTGATGGGTGTGCCGAAAGGGGGGTGGCGCCAACATGCGGGCGGCGCAATTGGGGTCTTTCGGCGGAGCTCTCTACGGGGCCACGAAGCGTGCGAGGGGTGTACCGAAATGGGGGTGGCGCCCACATGCGGGCGGCGCCAGTGAGAGCCTGGGTGGAGCTCCCTATGGGGCCACGAAGCGTGTGAAGGGGTGTGCGGGCTGCGTTTTTGGGACTCTGGGTGGAGCTCCCTATGGGGCCACGGAGCGTGCGATTGGCGTCCCAAAGCGGGAGTGACGCCCACATGCAAACGGCGCCATTGGGGCTTGTCTTGTGGTGGAGCTCCCTATGGGGCCACGAAGCGTGTGATGGGGTATGCCGAAACGGGGGCTACATGCGGGCGGCGCTCTTGGAGCCCTGGGTGGGGCTCCCATGGGGCCGCGAAGCGTGTGACTGGGTGTGCCGAAATTGGGGTGGCGCCCACATGCGGGCGGCGCCAGTGAGACCTTAGGTGGAACTCCCTATGGGGCCACGGAACGTGTGATGGGTGTGCGGGAAGGCTCCCAAACGTGTGAGGGGTGTGCCGAAACGAGGGTGACGCCCACATTCGGGCTGCACCAGTGGGAGTTTGGGTGGAGTTCCCTATGGCTTCACAAGGCGTATGGGGTATGTGCCGAAACGGGGGTCACGCCCACATGCGGGCGGCGCCACGGTTGCCTTGGGTTGAGATCCTTTGTGAGGCCACGAATGTGTGAGGGGTGTGCCGAAATTGGTGTGGCGCCCACATGCTGGCTGCGCTTTTGGAGCCCTGCCCTGGGTGGAGCTCCCGATGGAGCCACGAAGCGTGTGATGGGTGTGCCGAAAGGGGGGTGGCGCCAACATGCGGGCGGCGCAATTGGGGTCTTTCGGCGGAGCTCTCTACGGGGCCACGAAGCGTGCGAGGGGTGTACCGAAATGGGGGTGGCGCCCACATGCGGGCGGCGCCAGTGAGAGCCTGGGTGGAGCTCCCTATGGGGCCACGAAGCGTGTGAAGGGGTGTGCGGGCTGCGTTTTTGGGACTCTGGGTGGAGCTCCCTATGGGGCCACGGAGCGTGCGATTGGCGTCCCAAAGCGGGAGTGACGCTCACATGCAAACGGCGCCACTGGGGCCTGTCCTGTGGTGGAGCTCCCTATGGGGCCACGAAGCGTGTGATGGGGTATGCCGAAACGGGGGCTACATGCGGGCGGCGCTCTTGGAGCCCTGGGTGGGGCTCCCATGGGGCCGCGAAGCGTGTGACTGGGTGTGCCGAAATTGGGGTGGCGCCCACATGCGGGCGGCGCCAGTGAGACCTTAGGTGGAACTCCCTATGGGGCCACGGACGTGTGATGGGTGTGCGGGAAGGCTCCCAAACGTGTGAGGGGCGTGCCGAAACGAGGGTGACGCCCACATTCGGGCGGCACCAGTGGGAGTTTGGGTGGAGTTCCCTATGGCTTCACAAGGCGTATGGGGTATGTGCCGAAACGGGGGTCACGCCCACATGCGGGCGGCGCCACGGTTGCCTTGGGTTGAGATCCCTTGTGAGGCCACGAATGTGTGAGGGGTGTGCCGAAATTGGTGTGGCGCCCACATGCTGGCTGCGCTTTTGGAGCCCTGCCCTGGGTGGAGCTCCCGATGGAGCCACGAAGCGTGTGATGGGTGTGCCGAAAGGGGGGTGGCGCCAACATGCGGGCGGCGCAATTGGGGTCTTTCGGCGGAGCTCTCTACGGGGCCA